ATATTTATCTATACGTGATGTTTACATTAAATCAATCAATGCAAAATATATATTTTTCATATATATCTTTCTTATTTAATTATGTTTAAATGATATGTGTTACTATTAATTTATTCTGTAATTGATAAGTTTACGTTTATTGATTTGGTGTAAATATGAGAGAGTAAACATACACCGACAAGGAGTAAAAAGAGTCTAGCTCTTTTTTGAAGTTGATACTTACTCGTATCGGATATTTATACCAAACAAAGAAAATTAATTTTAGTTGTCGTGGAATCTTCTACTAATGCTTAATTTATTCTGTAATTGATAAGATTACGTTTATTGATTTGGTGTAAATATGAGAGAGTAAACATACACCGACAAGGAGTAAAAAGAGTCTAGCTCTTTTTTGAAGTTGATACTTACTCATATCGGATATTTATACCAAACTAAGAAATTTAATTTTAGTTGCCGTGGAATCATCTACTAATGCTTAATTGCTTATATTAGGGTATGTTGTCTATATCATATCTCTTGGATGCGACTCTTTCCCGGACCTTGCATGAACGCGAAATACATGATGCACCGAGCTGCCTATTTTAGTTAAAAATTAAGGTGAGAATGCATATCACTTAACCATAATAGTTAAACAATGACTATGTGTATGCAAAACACATGACTCTCTTCAAGCAGGGGCAGATTCAATGTTCTACCGACGGATTCAATTGAATAACTTTCGACGTGAAATAAAAATTTATATGTAAAAATTCATTTAAATTGTAAAAATAATAGATATGAATACATATATAACTTAAAAAATATAATAGGTTCAATACTAAAAACCTTAAAAGCTGAACCTAAAGGTTTAAATCTCGGATCCGCCTCCGTCCTCCGGAGACATTGGGATATCGCATTCAACTGGTCCAACTCCCTACCTTCCAACTTTACCAAACACCAGGATTTGCTTACACCTACCAAATCCAAAATTATCGAGTTTTTTACTACAAATAAAATTTCACTTTTTCAGTAAGATTGAAAAATATTACTAAAACTAATTACTCTTTATATCCCATTTTACTTGATACTGTTATTGTTTGAATAAAAAAAAATTATTGGCTACGATGTTTTCTAAATATTTTATCCAAATATGATAAATTGTGTTTCTAGTAATTTATGCATTGTCGCTACATATGTAAATCACTACATATAATAGAAACCGAGAATAATTAAATTAGAACACAGGAAATAATTAAATTATGTTGATTCTGTATACCAAATCGAATTAACAAAGTAGAGAAGTACTTTACATTTTTTTCTTAAAAAGAGGAAAACAAACTCCCCAATTAATGTAATAGTGTTTTTACCAACAAAAAAAATGTATGTGCGTTTCCACGGTATCAACTTTTCAATAACAATTTAATTTTTATCCGAATATTTCAAACACATAATAATAATTAAATTAAAGCAAGGGAATAAGTTGAAACATGTAGAAATTGCATGATATAAGGCGATTGTTAGGGAAAAGAGAAGAAACAAAGATAGTGAAGACTTGATAAAGAAACATCATTAATAAAGTTTGTACTGATGTGAAGCCCACTACTCCCATTTTCTATAGGGGAAAGAAAAAGACCCTTTCAAACCCCACCCCACCCCCA